CGGTTCAGCTGCTGCAGCGATGGGCGTGGTGGAGCTGGAACAGAACAGACAACTGATTCGTGCACAGAACTAAGGATCAGGAGCTCTGGGCTCTTCCCCTGCCCTTTTCATACACTTTCCAAGTGACTTTTGTCTTGGCCTTGTCAAGTGCCTGCACGCCTTTCGCAAGGTACTGAGTGCTTGTTGGAGCTGAAGGCACTCAGCACCTCTCTAGATATGGCCATAAACCTCTGTGTGTCTCAGTTCTTCATCTGGCAAATGGGTCTAATAAGCCTGACCTGCTTCTCAAGAGGATGTAAGCCTTCCCAAATGCTTTAAAAGCACTGGGAGATCTTAGATTGGAATGCAACTGAAATAGAGATTATTTTATGCCAGCAGGTTTGCATGCTCTGGCAGGAGCATTGGAGGTTCATGGAGAAGTGGGAAGATCTGTTGCCTTACAGTGTCCCTACAGCCCAGAGCACGATGCTGCAGAGAAGCTGTGGTGCAAGTATGAGGGGACGTGGTGTCTTAGCATCTTGGCGTCCATGGGGAGTACCAGTGATGGGCACCACGGCAGAGCAGCCGTCCATGAGATCAGGGAAAATCGGACTTTTGCTCTGACAGTGGAGGGACTCCAAGTGAATGACACAGGGATATACGAGTGCAGAATCCGGATGCCTGGAGAGGCCAGCGTCACGCTGCTGAACATCTTGTTACACATCTCCACGGGTAAGGATTTGTCTGCCAATACCTAAATAGTGGGTCTGCTTGAGGGTGGTCCTGTATGGGTCTGCTCCACTGTTGTCTGTCTGTCTGTTCTCATGGTGATTATTGCTATCGTATTTTCTAGGCTGCTCCCATCCCTCTGGAGTAAACATTTTGGCAGCGCAGGCATCAGATTCTCTCTTGTCTCACCTGGGGCCTGATTATTGTTTGCCCCGAGGCCCCTGAACTCTGCTCTAAAAGACCCTGTTCCCTGGGCCAGGCTGTGTTTCCAGTGACATTATTCAGAGGAGCTTTCAGCTGAGCTGGCTGCTGCTGACCTCAGTCAGGTTTTGCCTGCAGGCCTGGGCACCTCTGAACAACAGTCTGGTGCACAGTCTTGGAGGGAGCTGGGGCACAGGGGAAGCTTGTCTTGTTGCTGCTTGCTGACCTGCACTGAAGTGGAGGCACAGGAGAGGGCTCCTGCCTCCAGAACTGTCGGGCCAGCAGCCCCAGCACCAAAGTCTCAATTTCAAGCATTATTAGCAGACACTAACCCCCCACACATGCGCATATAGCCCTGTAAAGTCACCCAGTATGGACCAGTGCATCAGCTCAGGTAGGGATCTAGCCATCATTGCGAAGGCCCAGATGGGAGAGACGAATCTTTTAACCTCTGTATTTGCTTCCCAGATGTGCCAAACAGTGCAACTCCTCTCTCCCTGCCTCTCTTATATCCTGCCTGTTTAATCAGATGGGCAAGGCCAGAATAGCCATCATGTCCCCCAGACTTGTTGCTCCATGGAATGACCTTGACTAAGCATCTTGCTCTCTCTGAGGCTGGTACTGGCTGAAGTGCCTGCGCCTTGTTCTTATTTCTTTTTCTTTCTAGAGGGAACACTCAGTCAGCCCAGCTCGTCCATTGACGTCACACCCAGAACCACCAGCAGGTATGAAGCTATTTTGGTCCTGACCAGCATCTGGGGAAGGTGTGTCCATGGGTTTATTTGACTAAGGAAAGATGGAATTAGGACTTTAATATGTACCCTCCTACATTCTTAGCCCCTAATCATGCAAATTATGAACCCATATTCTCTCTGTCTCTCTCTCATTCACACACACGCGCACGTGCACACGCACACCTTCCCTCCCACCCCCCCATACACACACAGAGTCTATATATGCACCTTCCCCCAGCTTATGGATCCCTCACCGCACCTGACTTACCAGGAATGGTCATCACTATATCAATTCACCCCGTTCCTTTGCATTTTCTCAAGCACTGCCTTTGCCATGGCTGCTTCCATATCCACGGTGGTCCTGGTTCTAGCTGTCTTTTTGATGGGGATTCTGGGACTGAAATGGAAACAGAGAAGGAATGGAGGTAAGACCCTCTCTGTACCCGCTATAGTCAAAGTAACAAGCTGCAGTTCCCTGCCCTTTGTTCAGGGAATCAAATTTACTGGGCCTTTCCAGCCCCCATCACTCCAGTTCAGTGTTGACACCTAATTGTGCCGGCAAAGCCTCCATACACTGAGCATAAGACTGAAAGGCCAGCTCCCAGGACTTGCAAATGCAGGTTTCATGTGCACAAAGGGCTATTTGTATGTAGACATGCAGGGGGATTGGCTCATCCAAACAGATAAACACACAAGTGTAGAGTCCCTTTGCTAATATGCCCCCAGTGATCGAATCCAGTCAGTGCTTCACTCCTAAAATGGGGCTTCTGTCTCAGTGGGTTCTGATAACTTGAGATATTAGAGCTATATTTTATTTTAATTTCTAACAGTGCTTCTATTGGGTACCTCAGTCACTGTCTCTCTCCGTGTGCCTAAGTGCCCTGTCTCAATCCTTCCATCTCATTAGGGGAGTGGTGTAATGCTTAGTAGGCTGGTACATTCTGCCAGTGTTCATCATCATCATTGTAGCACTGTTCCATCTGTCTGATGTGGGTTTTCATACTGACCCAAAGCTGCCCAGAAGCCCGTGATTCACACAGGCAGCTTGCCTCTCTGCTCCACTAATGCACATGCTCATTGGGTGAATCCTCTGGTTGCTATACATTACCCTGGTTCTTCCAGTTGCAGGGCCAGAGTCTGAGGCTGCTGACAGATGCAGGTAGCTGTCTTTTAAAAGCTAAAATGAAGTTTCTCTAACTCTCAATTCCTTTCTGTTCCTGCTGATGAAGGCCCCCGGAAACATCTCACCTGGAATATATTTAGGCGTGACATAATATCGCCAGCTGTCGCAAGGGAGGACGATTTTGCTATATATGTGAATATGCCACGGTTCCCACGCTCCTGAAACTCCAGTGCCCTGTACCCAGCTCTCGCCTCCCACATGTGATGGGCAGAAATGGCCTTTGAGTGACACCAAACAGCTGTGGGTTGGTGCATCTAGGCTCCATTCCTCCTGCTGCTACAAGCTCATTGCATGACATTGGG